CCTGGACACAAGGGCGCCCCAGCCTGGAGCACCACCCTCCACCAGCGAAGCCTGGCAGACAGGCTGGCCTTCACACCGGCCGCAGAAAAGGGGTGGGCTGGCAGCGAGTGACTTCTCAGGCGTTCTCCAAGTCGCCGGCCTCAACCACCACCGGCTGGCCAGGAATCACAGCGGAGACAAGTTCAGGGCTCTCTGAAGGGGAGTGAGGAGGATCTGCGAGGATACCAGGGCAGGGGGTTGGGGCTGGGCTGAGAAAGGGTCAGGGGTCAGGGAAGCAGGGACCTGGGCCCACCACAACGGCCTGCCCTCCCAGCTGCAGGGGGCAGAAGCCACAGACTGTCCACACCGGAAATGTGCTCTGAGGCCAGAGGCCCAGGCTGGCAGGGCTCCGGAAGGCCTGATAAACCCCTCCTGGCGGGAGGCCTGGTCCTGGGCAGGTCACAGGTTCACTGGCCCCCAAGCCGTCCCTGTCGCCTGAATGCACCCAGATCCACCTGCCCAAGACCCCTGCCCACAGCCTGGCTCCCGCCCAGCCCGGGGCCCGCGCTGCCCTGCCAGTCCCTCCCGGGGGCCTAGTGGGGACATAGGGGGAAAGTGGGCCCCGCAGGGTGAAGGGGCAGCGTCGGGGGAGGGGCGAGAGAGAGGCAGGCCCGGAGCCAGGACCCCCGCCCCCTCCAAGGAGCACTCGACTTCAGCACCCGGGCGCTCCCTTGGATGCCCAGCGCCGGGATACTAAGGCCAAGAGAGGGCTGGGCAGTGTGGACTAGCGAGAGAGGGGCCGGGTGGAGGGGGGAGACCCTGGGGACCTTTCCCCGAGCGGCTCCGGAGACCCCAAGCAGCAAAGCCTGGAGCGGGGAGGGCCCGCTGAAGGCCCGCGAGGACCCCGAGGCCTCCGCGAGCGCTGGACCCGATCGAGGCCCTCCTTTTCCGCCCGGAGGGTCAGCGCTGCTCTCCGCGGCCCCGGCGCCCCAGCGGCGCGGGCGGGCGCGTCCCCGGCGCAGGTAGGGAGTGGGCCCGGCCGCGCAAACTTTGCAAGGATCGCTCCTGCGCTGGGGGCGCAAAGTTTGCTGCCCGCCGGTGGGGTCTCTGGAGGCGGCCGCGTCGGCCGCAAGTGGAGAGAAAACCGGGGCGGGGGCGGCTTGGAGCACGGGGGCCTCGCGGAGCCGAGGGTCTGCGCTGGGACGCCCGGCTGCCAGCCTTCCCGGCTCGGGCGGCGCCCTGGGAGCCAGCGGCGGGGCCGCGGTGGGAAAGCGGGAGGGAATGGGCCGGAGCGCCGGGCGTTTCGCGAGGAGGACTCATCCCGCGCGCCTGCAGCTCGCCCCGGGCTTCGGGCTTCGCGGGAGACCCCAGAGGAGCGGATGCGAAAGAGCGACCCGCCAGGCTCGGGGTTCGCGAGTGGGGCTTCGGAACACCTAGAACACCAGAACCCCACACCCCGCCGGGTGTCCACGAGCAGTGGGCGGCACGCGCGCCCCCAGGGCTGAGCCCGGCGCCTGAAAGAGGAAGGCCCTACCCTGGGCTGCGAGCCCCTGCCCGAGCCTCCCGGCTCGGGTCAACTTCTCAGGGCTGGAGCGGGCCCCTCACCCCCGCGCCGCGCCCGCGCGACTCTCGGGGCAGGGGAGCGGAGGCCTCCGGGGACGACTCTGCGAACCGGTCAGACCTCGGGGGTTCAGCTGGTCTCAGGGGTGAAACTCTGCCGAGAGCAGAGGAGGGTCAGGACCCGGCCTCTCTCCCCAGGGCCCGCCATGGTTCCGACGGCCGACAGCACCCCTGGGCAACAAGGGAGCGCCAAGGACCTCTAGGATTGGGGGCTAATCGTCCTCAGGGCCCCAGGCACCCCCCCCCCAGCCCCGGCTCCCTTGGAATTCAGCAGGCCCGTGGAGGCATCTGACCAAAGTCGAGGCACTGCCTTGTCCGTGGGGAAGCGCTTGGCTTCTCCTGCCCGCGGGCGTGTTTAGAACCGGGGGGTCCCTCGAGGAAGTGGGCTCAGGAAGCCGAGTCTATGCAGACAAGTTGAGCTTGATGGTGCCTGAGATTCTGACACTAGGTCTGTCCCGCTCTCGGAGAGAGATCCGGGGACTCAGCTCAAGACTGGGCCTTTTAGGAAAGCACGCGGGAGAGTTATTCCTGCCTTAATAGGGGACAAAGATGGCCCAGAAAGCACTGGGTTCCGGCAGACGGATCTTGACCAAGGCACAGGTTAGCAGCAGGGTGTCAGGGTGTGCCCGCGAGTGGAGACGGTGGCGGTAACCTGGCCTCCAGGGAGCTTAGCAGGGGCTGTGTGGGCGGCCCGCAAGGCTGGGAGATTCCTCCCGCAGCCCCAAGTTTCCCCAAACTGGGGGGCAGGCAGCCCCTCACGAGGCCAGTCTGGCCTGGGCCAGAGCCAAGGATCGGGGTCAGAGGCCTAGGAAAGCGCCCCAGGCGAGTGGGGTTTCAAGGCTGGGGAAAGAAGACGGCCGGCGAGACCAGGGCGGGCGGGACTGCGAGTGTCTGTCCGCGCTCTCAGGCTGGAAAGGAAAACAGAACTAGCGGCGAGGGTCAAGAGAGCCCCTGAAACCCCTCCCCCAGAGCCGCGCGGCCCGCTGCGCCCACCGCGCGCCGAGGGTGTGCAGGTCTGCTCAGAAGATGAATGGTGCTTGTTCAGGGGCGCCGTTTCCCGGGAGAAGCAGCCGAGTCTCCGGGGAGGAAATGGGCGCGGCCTGGACGCGGCGAGCCGTGGCCCCGAGGCGCTGGCCGCTGGGACCTGCGCGGTGGCTTCCTCCCCGGCGGCCGAGCGCTTACAATCGCCCGGTGGCGGTGGGGCCCGGCCGTGGGAAAGAAGCGAGGAAAGGATGCCGAATGCCTTCCTCCAGTGAAGACGGCCGCTCCCTGAGCCCTCGGCCACCCCTGCTCGGGCGCCCTCCCCTCCCCATCACCCTGGGAGAGTTGTTTGTAAACAATAAATAATGGAAAGTAGGAGGATGTTTCCTAAAAGCCTCAGCCGAGCAGGAAAACCGTGAGGAGAGGGGAGGAGGGCAGAGTGGGGGAGGGGAGGCGCAGCGGCGCAGGAGGGAGAGAGATGGAGAGATTCATTTCGGCCGAGAAACCCCGGTGGCTACTTTCTTATTATTTACAGGAAGGTGATATTAGCAATTCAGGTGAGAAAGAAAGAAACGCGGCCGCCATGAAATCAATACAGAATTCAAAAACAATTATTAGTCATTTGACTCCTGTTCTTTATATATATCTTCCGGCTACAGACGCTAAACTGTCTGAATAATTTGCATGGAGCGGCTATTCATTATTTCCGAGGATTTTCCTTGGCGGGCCGCTCGGACGTGGCCGGCTGCGGTCCAGCGCGATCGGAGAACTCGTACTTTTCATCTGTAAATTAAAGCAATTACGCAGCAGATATTATAGGATGCGTACTGTGGTCTCCAGATAGTCATCAATCACCTTGAACCGAGCTGTCAGAGCGGGCAGATTTCGTTTCTGGGAGGCGGGTTTGCAGCTGGGGAGAGGGCGAGAACGTCATCATTAATTAGAGGGTGACCCTGGGGCGATTCACAGGTCTGAACCCAGGGATCATTCCCAGCAAGTCTGCACAGCGCCGCCGCGAACGGCTCCCTCCCGGCGGCTGCGGGAGGCCCGGCCTGGCGGGAGCCGCTGGGGCGAGCCCGGGCCCCGCAGGGTGGCTGCGCCCAAGGCGGGCCGGGGTTCCGGGTGGCACCGGAGTCCCCTTGCCGCCTGGGAGCCGGACTCGCGCAGGGTCCCAGGCCGGAGATTGGCTGGGAAAGCGCTGCGGTGTGCCCTCCACCGCTCCTTGCGCTCCGGGCAGGGAAGGGCGCTCCGGCCAGGGAAGGGCGCTCCGACCTGGCGCCCCGCGTCCCCTCCCCGGTGTCTAGGCCCGAAGGTGGCCGGGAGGAGAGAGCGCAGCGCGAGGGGCCCCGGAGCCGAGTCGGAAAAACCTGCTCCTCGGAGCGCGCCGGGCCGTCTGGCAGTCCCGAGTTCAGCCGCGAGGGGCAGGGGGAAGCCGGGGGGAGGGCGGCCCGCGGGGCGGGCGGGGGCGAGCAAAGGGAGGGCCGGTGCGCCGAGCAGGAACGGACTAGACGAGGAGGGGCTGGCTCCCCCGGGGCCCGGCGGCCGGCAGCGGCAAAGCCTCTTGGCCCACCGAGCCCCGGGCCGACCGGCTCCGGGGAGGGCCCAGGCCCACACACTCGGTACTCTGTCCTCCAGCTGCGGACGGTGCGCGTGGCCGCGGGGGTGCTGGAACTGCGGCCCGCTGTGGGGTTCGAACTGCTGGGAGGCTTCGCCTAGGCCCCGTTAAACAATAGTCGCGGCGCGCCGCCCTCCGCCGCCACGCGCCGGCCCGCGGAGCTGCCTGCCTGCCTGCCTTCCACCTGGAGGGGCGCGCGGGGCCCAGGCCGGCCGGCTGCGGCAGCGCCGGGCTAATTTTAACTGTTGATTACGTCTCCCGCGAAGCCTCACTCGCACACCCCTCGTCCGTCTCATTTGTAATTGAGACTAATGATTACAGTGGGGCGGGAAGGAGCAGCTGCTCATTAATTAATTTCTAATTAAAAGTCCTCCCGTCCTCGGTGACTAAGGAGAAACTCGGTGCGTCGCGGCGATGTTGACTGCTCCTCGGAGGAAATTCATTTGTTCCGGCCGTGAGCCCTCCGCCCCGGGCGGCGCTCCCGCCTGTTCCCGCCCCGCCCGGCAGGGCCGGGGCCGAGTGACCCCCGCGTCTGTGGCCGGGCCGGGCTGCGCGTTGTGGGGCTGACGTCAGAGCCTCCGCCGCTTAAAGCCGCGCACCGCTGACTTGACGGATTCGCACGACTCATTTTTTCCTTTTTTGTAAAATATGTATTTGTGTCGCCGCTGCGAGGCCGGTCGGTCCCAGTGTCCCCTCCAGGCTCCGGACTGTGAAGCTGAGAGGATCACCGCGGCTCACTTTCCTCTCCACTTAGAAAAGTTTCCCGAGCTTGTGGCTGAATTAACCAGCTCTTCTGCTTCACCCTCTCAGTGTCTAGAAGTCCGCGGCCCCCGAGCAGTGGCCGCGCCGCGCCGGCCCCGTCGCTCAGGACCCTGCCGGCCCCGCCCGCCGGCCCCGGGCCCGCCATGTCCTACCCGCAGTTTGGGTACCCCTACTCCTCGGCACCCCAGGTAAGGGAGCCCCGCTAAACCAGCCACTGGCTGTCACCACCCAGCGAGCGGGGCCTGTGCCGCGCACCCCTCGCGACCCACCCTGGGGCGGGCAGAGGCCGGAGGAACCCCGATGGGCAGGGCCCCCATTTCCCGCTTTTGTTTGTCCCCCACCCCCTCCCGGGCTCTGAGGCTGTGCCCCGGGGAGCCTGGGGACCCAGGAGAGGTGGCACCCGAGGGCGTGCGCGCTGAGGCCTTGGAAACTCCCCGGGGAGGAGGCGCTGGGCCCCGTGTGGCTGGAGAAGAGCGGACGCACTTACATCCTGGAAAGGGACGCGCGGACGCGTGTCGACGGTGGCAGCGCCGCCAAGGACACGGAGTGCGCGCCCCCGCGGCTGTGCGTGGGGCGGACACAGGCCCAGGGGCCCAGCCTCGAGTCCGGGCCCCGCCCTCCCTTCCTCGCCGCTCTCTCCCCCAGTTCCTGATGACCACCAACTCCCTGAGCACGTGCTGCGAGTCCGGCGGCCGCACGCTGGCCGACTCCGGGCCAGCCGCCTCGGCCCAAGCGCCCGTCTACTGCCCGGTCTACGAGAGCCGGCTGCTGGCTACCGCGCGCCACGAGCTCAACTCAGCCGCGGCCCTGGGCGTCTACGGGGGCCCCTACGGCGGTTCGCAGGGCTACGGCAACTACGTGACCTACGGTTCCGAAGCGTCCGCCTTCTACTCGCTGGTACGGGGAGTGGGGGTGACTCGCAATCCTTCCCGAGCTGGCCCCTACCGCCCGATTTGCCAAACTAACTTTCCCCAAACTCTGGAGGCAAGGGGCGAGTCCCCTGGAGCCCGGGCTTTGGGAGGTGGGAGAGGCACGCCCCACCCTACCCTAACCCTAGCCTTCAGGCCTGGTCCTTCAGAGCGCAGCAGCCCCACGGTTGGGGGATTCTGGCGGGTAGGGCCTCATATTGAATGTGCGTATTGTCTTCTGTCTGCTCGCGATTGAGTTGGGATCAGATATGTGGTTCTGTCGCAGCTCGCTCGGGCCTGTCCCCCACCCGGTCCCCTAACCCCCCTTCTCCGCGCTGGGCTCCGCCCCACTTCCACCCTCGCTTCGCCCTGCGCCCCTGCCCAGCCCCTCCTCTGCCAACGCCCAGTCGCTCCCGCCCCCAGCCTCTTCCCCTCTTTCCATCCCCCCACTCTCCCCCTCTCCATCCCCTCTTCGTCCTCCTTTCCCGCTCTCATTCCCCGACACCCCAACTCTGCTCCCTGACACCCCAACTCTGCTCCTCCTCACTCCACATCTTGGGGCTCCTTCGCGCTGCCTGGGCCCTCGAAGGGCAGCCTGGGACTGGGCCAGGCGGCTGGGGGTGGGGGCGGGATGGCGGCTGCCCAGGGGTCTGCGGGAAGCCCTCCGGAGCCAGCGTTCCTAGGGGAGGGGTCGGGCTGGGTCGCATCCCGGAAGCTGCTCCGACCCCAGGCTCACCGGCTCCTACAGAACAGCTTCGACTCCAAGGACGCACCGGGATCTGCGCATGCGGGCCTCGCTCCCGCTGCCGCCGCCTACTACCCGTACGAGCCGGCGCTGGGCCAGTACCCCTATGACAGGTGAGGGCCACCCCACGGCCGCGACCCCCGACCCCCGCGCCACGCCCCTTCTGAAAGTTTGGGCGACTGAGCGAGCGGCCTTCCCAGGGTCAAGCTCCAGCTGATTCGGGGTTGGGCGCACCCTCCTCCTAGCGAGCCCGTACCGCCGGCTCCCCGCGGAACCCACGCTGTCTTTCCGACTCTCAAAGCCCAAACTTCGGCCACCTCCCCGGCCCGGAGAGGCTCGGCCTGTGCGGTGTGTCCCAGCCCAGCCCACCGCCCCTACAGAAGTGCCCTTGCGCACCAGCAGACGGCAGGCCTTCCTGGAGCGACAGACACCTGTAACTGCAGACCTCACAGTAGACCCTGAGGGCACAATGTCCCCACGGGCCCATTTCTGCCCACGGGTTGTGCGCCATTGGGTTTTTCGAGTCCCTGCGATGTGCTTTCCTGGTTTCAGGATCAAAGAGGGCCAATAAAGGACCCCGCAGAGACATGGGTGTCTGTAGGGTGACAGAGACCTGGCCGGCCTTGCGCCCCGCTTCTCCCCCACCCACTGGGACCTCTCTGACTCCATATGTTTAATCAAATGTAAACATTAAAAGGCAGCGCGCACCTGGGTAAAACCCATACCACCATAAACACACAACCACCACCCCCCCCACAACCGGAACTGAAAGCCACGTGGGCTTGGCCCTGGCCGCCTGCCCGCGGTGCGAGGGCCGCTGCCCGCGCCCCATTGCCCAGCCTGTCCCCAGGTACGGGACCGTGGACAGCGGCACGCGGCGGAAGAACGCCACGCGCGAGACCACCAGCACGCTCAAGGCCTGGCTGCAGGAGCACCGCAAGAACCCCTACCCCACCAAGGGCGAGAAGATCATGCTGGCCATCATCACCAAGATGACCCTCACGCAGGTCTCCACCTGGTTCGCCAACGCGCGCCGGCGCCTCAAGAAGGAGAACAAGATGACGTGGCCTCCGAGGAACAAGTGCGCAGATGAGAAGCGGCCCTACACCGAGGGCGAGGAGGAAGAAGGGGGCGAGGAGGAAGGCCGTGGGCAGCCCCTCAAGAGCACCAAGGCTGAAGGTACCTGGGAAGCTGGCGGTGTGGGGCCTGGTCTCAGGGCGGGGCCTCCCTGCGCTTTCTCTCGGGTTCTTGGACCTCTAAAGGCATGGGATAAGGCAAGCCCCTGGGCCTAAGCTGCGAATGAGTGCCCTGGCCCCGAGGAAGGGAGGCCGTGTGAACCAGGGGACCCGAGCAGTGAGCTGGGAGCACCCATAAAGATCCAAAATCACCCTGTTTGATAGGAGGCCAGAATCAGATTGGTCTCTGTTCGGGGGACCAGGAGCCTGGAGGAGATAGGAGCTAGAGGAAATGCGCACATGCTTTTCCTTGCTCCAAAGTGGCCCCTAACCGTTCGCTCAGAACCGGGAAGGAAGGTACCGGGTTCGGCTAACCGCCACCCCCTCTCCCTTCACTGGTCACTTTCTCTCCCGGCAGAGCCCATTGGCAAAGGCAAGGACCTGGAGCTCAGCGACTTGGAGGACTTTGACCCCCTGGAGGGAGAACCCCCAGAGTGCGAGCTGAAGCCTCCCTTCCAGCCCCTGGACGGTGGCCTGGATCGCGTCCCCACCGGGCCAGAAGGGACCAGCGCCCGGGGGAAGGAGGCTCCGGGCGCCCTCCGGATGCCCCTGGCCGCCGGGGGCGGGGCCGCTCTGGACCAAGACCTGGAGAGGGCCCGGAGCTGCCTCCGGAGCGCGGCGACCGGGCCGGAGCAGCCGGCGGGCGCGGGCACAGGGGGCGGCCCGCAGGCCTGCGAGTCCAAGCTGGGCTTCGCTCCCGCTGGGGCGTCGGCCGGCCTCGAGGCCAAGCCGCGCATCTGGTCCCTGGCACACACGGCCACCGCGGCCGCCGCCACCGCCTTCAGCCAGACTGAGTTTCCCTCGTGCATGCTCAAGCGCCAAGGCCCCCTCGCGGGCCCTGCTGCCCCCTCCTCGGCACCCGCCTCCTCCTCGCCCGCGGCCCCCACCGGGGCCCTGGACAGGCACCAGGACTCCCCGGTAACCAGTCTCAGAAACTGGGTAGACGGGGTCTTCCACGACCCCATCCTCAGGCACAGCACTTTGAACCAGGCCTGGGCCACAGCCAAGAGCGCGCTCCTGGACCGGGGGCCGCTGGGCCGCTCGCTGGGGGCGGGCGCCAACGTGCTGACCACGCCCCTGGCACGCCCCTTCCCGCCCGCCGCGCCTCCCGACGCCCCTGCCGCCGGCACAGCCAAGGACCTGCTGGCCTTGCCCAAAGCCGGCGGCAAGCCCTTCTGCGCCTAAAGGGCAGGGCGCTGGGCCGAGGAGAGAGCCGGCGCTCAGGCCGCAGGCTCGAACGTGGCCTACCCTCTTTTTACCGAGTGTCCAAAGCGAGGCGAGAGTGCGGCGCAGCTCAGGCCGCCAGCCCTCCCCGGAGGGAGCTTCTGAACTGGGGCTCCCGGGCCACGGACAGGAGTTGGCCGGGCCCTCCCCAACCGAGGGACCCGGCCGGACAGGGCTGCTCTCAGAGCAGCAGGGAGACGCCCTGAAGCATAAAGTTTACGTCCAGAAGTTTACAGGCGAAGACGCGTCGTTCGAGGCCCGTTTGCGTTGCTGTCCCCTCTGGGTCTGAGGCCTGCCGCTGTTGCTCCTGAAGACTCCTCAGCCTGCTGACCTTCCGGTTTCATCCTCAGCACATACTTCTCACCGACAGTCCTTCACCGAGTTTACGCTGTTGCACACTCTTAACCCGATAAAATTGTTTTTTAAATGTATGTTCACACCAATAATTGCCTGCTTCAGAGGCTGATATAACAAAACCAATAAAACCGAGTGATGGTGTTTGCATTGCAAAATGAGCACGTGTGAAACCCAGCGATTTGGAAACGTGAGAGAGAAGCTGCCCATCACCCCATACCTTAGGGCAGCAGCGGGAGGCTTACAGAGTCCGAGACCGAAGGTGAAGTCATTGTTTTAAAAAAACAGTCACACTAAACTCAGGATTCTGCAGGGTTTCCGATTAGAAGGTGATGAGAGACCCCAAACTTTTCAACTCTCCCCGTGCCAGGCCCCAGAATTTTGAGAAAGTAAAAGTTTTTTTGGCTAGATTAGAAAAACTGTTAAACTTCCAAATTCCCTGGGACTGTGCCCTGATGGCGGCGGGGTGGGCGGCCGCCACTGCCCTCAGCCCCTCCAGAGCTGACTGAGCTGCCTCCCGCGGGCTTGGGGCCTCCGAACTCCGCAGGGGAGGGGGTCGGGGGGAGTGAGGCGGGACGTCAGGAGGCGGGGATGGGGGACCCGCCGGGACCCGCCCCCCGCCCCCTGCCCCTGTGCTCTCAAGCCTTCGCCATCGGCAAAGCCTGCAGCGCGGGTGCGAGAAAGGGATGAGCTTAGTAGACGGAAGACCCCAGGCAGGACTCGAAGGAAGGCCCCGGGGAGAGGGTGGGGAACGTGAGCCTCCCCCGCCTCATCTAGGTCTTTGCGGGACCCCCGGCTTCACTCAGAAACTCGGTTGGCCCACCCCCACCCGGCGGACCCCGGTTCACAGGCGGTCTTGCAGCTCGGATCTAGAGGAAAATCGCTGGCTTCCTCCCCGAGGTGGACTCTGCGGAGTTCCCTGCCCCCCGCAGGCTTCTGCCCCCCATCACCCCACCCAGCTCCTCCTCCCCACGTCGCGCAAGCGCCCCTCGAAGACACCAGAGGAGCTCGCAGTGGATTCAGCGCTGGCCCTCGCCTGCCTGCTCTCTGTCTAAGGCTCCCCCGGCCCTCACAGCTGTCCCAGGTGCCCAGAGGAAGGACGGACAGCCCGACAGGAGCCTGCGAGGGGGCAGCGGCCCGATCGCGCCTCCGTAAAGAGATGGTGGCCCTTGGCCCGTGGGCAGACTGACAGCCGCAGAGACGCCAGCTGAAGATGAGAGTCGCCCCGCCGACCGGCGGGCAGCCTTCGAGAGACACAGGAGGCCCGGCCCTTCTTTTGCGAGGGCCTGGGTGCTACTGGACTAGGGCCCCGTGGATCCTGGCCAGCTGGGAAACGTCGGGGCGGTCGAGGCGCTGGAAAGCGGGCCCGATGGGGTGAGTGTCCCACCCGGGAGAAGGAACCCGCGAGGGGCACCCCTGAGCGGTGGCCCCTGCTGGCGGGACCTCGAACCCCAGGCCTGGAGCGGAGGGCGCGGGCGCTGGCCCTGCGCCCCGCCGGCCCCGCGGTAATTGGATTGTATCCGCCCGCGCGCTGTCACCGTATTGACTTTCGCTCTCTTGGATGATATTATCCGGACTCGGAAGCTCGCCGCTGATGTGTCTGTCAAAAGGCTGCGGCGGGAGCCCCCGGCCTGGCGAGCGAGCATCAGCCAAGATAATTTGAAGTGAAATTTTCATTTTGACAGTAAACCCCTCAATTTCTAAAGGCTCCGCGCTCTGAGAGCTCGCTGGCAGGGGGAGGCTTTGCAGAAAGCCCACGTCTTAGACTGAAAAGGGCAAAAGAACTCGAATTAGTTGTAATAGATAAAAGGGCAAAAATAAAGAGTCAAGGGTACTTGACAGTAATAGCGAAAGTGGAGTCTCGGGGGAGATGCTGCGGCCAGGCCGGGGCGCCAGGAATTTTAATGCGCGGCCGCCATGTGCAACCCCCACCCCGCCTTAGACAAAGCCAGACGTTTTCAGCGAAAACAAGGTTTCGCGGACGCAGGAGGCATGGCTCGGCGAGGGAGGGGTTGCGGAGCCAGAAACCCCAGGAACCCCACGCTGGGGCTTCTGCGGGGCCCAGACTGTGGGCCGCGCGCGGTGGGGCGCGCGTGCGCGCGCAGCGCTCCGGCTGGGTCCTACTCTGGCTCCTTCCCAAGCGGGCCCTCCCGGGATTCAGCCCAGGCGGCTCCAGCAATCCCAGCCCGTTGCCCCATGGACCCCAGGCCCCTGGCATCGCCAGGGCGCAAAGGCCCCGCGTGTCCCCGCAGAACCACCCGTGCAGGAGCCCTCAGGTCGTGGTGAAACTGGCTCACCGGAAGGGTTTATTGGAAACCGAGGAATTGTATGAAATAAAGACATCAAGCGGAGAGCCGGGATGCAGCCGCATCCCAGGGGCGACTCGCCCAAAAGACGCCCCAAAGCTGCAGTCTTCACGCAGACGCACACCCGTCACCTTTGGGGTACACTCTGGCAGTGTCACTCACCCACCCTCTGGCTGATCTTCAGAGAAGGGTCGGGCTAGCACAAGCGGGGCGGGAATGCATTTTTAGGCGCGGGCGCGGCGGGGCGAGGCCACTGTCCGTGGGGCGGGGGCGCGCTTCCCTCCCAGGGAGGCTGTCAAGAAGGGCGCGGGCCCGACGCTCTCAGCCGCTCAGGCGTGGAGAATTCAAACACACCAAGGAGGGGACGCTAAATTAACGGCGCTCTTTACATAGAGCCCAAATAAAACTGTAATCAGCGGCGCGTTACTTTTCATTAAGCGAATCTGACAGCGGCATATCCAGCCCCGACAGGGGAACAGGCCCGGGAAATATACTGCCCTCCCGCCGGCCCGCTAAGATAATTCCTTAAGCACCATTAACAGCTCTTAGCCGCGGGAAATGGGCTCCCTGAAAACGTCTCCAAATCTAAAAGCTTTATCGACCCTCCACCCGACACTGATGGCTCCATTTTTTTCCTCTGTTCTTTTCCTTTGCTCTCTTTTCTTTTTTTTTAACTAAAGGGAGAGACGTCCAGCAAGGTAATGGAGTTTGACACGACACCTTCTTAACTAGAGAGAGAGGCAGGGAAGCCAGCCCTTAAATGATATTTAAAAGGCAACCAATTAAGATTTAAAGTGGTCGTCTCCTGAGATTATGCAGGGATTTATGCCGCCTCCTTCCCCGGGCTCCGGCCTACGCTGCTGTGGCCTGGGCGCCCCACTGCCTCTTCCCTCCTTCCCACCTCTCTCGATCTCCCTTCTCTGTCTTCACATCTGTCTGTCTCACTCTTTCCCAAAGACAACCGAAGAGCTAGAAGCAGCAAGCTCTTCCAAGGCTCACGCTGTCTCGGAGCAAGGATTCTTGGCTGGCCTCCTGCAAAGGGCCCGTTCTCCCAAAGCAGTGGACGCCAGACTGAGGGAAACTGAGGCCACACCCGCCCACGACAGCCCAGGGGTGCAGGGCCGGCCGGTCCACAGTGGACGGGCCTGCAAGGCAGGGGATAGCCCAGAGGAGAAGCGAGGGGGCGGCCCACAAAGCCCGGTGTCCCTGCAGCAGGGAGACCCCCGCCCCGCGCTGCGCACTCAGGGCCCACTTCCCTGAGAGCCTCGACTGGGCTAAGACCCTACCCCTCCCTCGCCTGGATGAAACAGAGGCAGGGGGGGGCTAGAGCTAGTTGGGGGTGTCTTCCAACATCAGCTTTCTGAAGAAACACTTGTGGAAAAAGTGCCTTGTGCCAAGAGGACTCTGGCTCTGGGTGAAGCCTGCAGGTTTATCTGAAGCCCCAGGACCAGACAACTGCCACCCCACACACACACACACACCTGCTTCTCTGTTGGAGGTTCAGCTTACTGAAGGCTCTCTGGCATCATCCAAGCCCCCTCAGGATTCTAAGAAGCAAGGCAGGAGACCCGTCTCCTCAGCCAGGGCTCAGGGAAGGCTCAGCAGCCCCCCACCGCGCAGTCTGACCAAGTCTGATCAGCAAGGGTGGAGATCTAGCCTCAGGAGCCCCACCGGGTCAGAACCGTGATGGGCTGAGCTGAAGCCACAGGGCAGGAAGGCGCCGGCCACCCAGCGCGAGCGCAGGGCAGAGGAGGGGTCCCCACATGGGCCTGGACCCTCACCTGCACCGCGTGGGGCACCACGGCCTTGCCCCGGCCATGATTCTGCTTCTGCTGCAGCGAGTGGGCACCAGAGATGCTGCGCTCCCTCCACCCGGGGCCAGCAGATGGCTCAGGGTCAGGGTGGTGGGTCACTGAGCCCCAGGGAGCAGAGGTCCACACAGGCCCTTTCTTGTCCCTGGTTCACCACCTCCCTGGCTGTGCTGACCAGGGGCCCCTCCCCCGGCCCAGGCTTGGGTCCCAGTGAGAGGTGGATTTGACAGAGTGGGGCTGGAGGGGGGCTAGTGTCCAGGCCAGGCCCCCGCAGGAGCAGTGCCCATTTTAACCAGAGACAGGACACAAGTGGGTTGGAGGCTGGGCCCGCAACACCAGGGGCCAGACTGGGGAGAGCCTGGGGGGGTGGTGAGTGAGGAGGGGCTCGCGTCTAGACCCCTGCTGCCTGCCCCTGGGGCCCCGAAACCCCCAGCTTGCTCTGGCAGGGCTGGTGCAGGCTTCCCGCTTGGATCTGAGAGGCTCCTGGCTTGCTTGGGTGCAGTCTGGAGGAAAATATCCAGTAATCCACCAGAATGAAGGCAGCAGGAGGAAAGGTCATCTCCTGTGATGATCTCACATCCCGCAGGGCTCTAGCGCGACCCGTCAGGGAAGAATCCAGTGTCAGGGAGACTCACAGATGAACCAGGAGAATTAGGAGCTTTTCTGGGATTAGACAAATGGGAGGGGACCTGCATATGCATACACACATGCTCACATGTGAGTACACAGGTGCACACACATGGTATGCACACTCCCACATGTACCCACAGGCATACCCAGGGCTGTGGAGGCTCCCGCGGCCGCAGGCTGCTCAGGCCTGTGGAGCCTGGCATCGCCCTGGACACACACTCCTGGGGCCCCAACCCCTACTCTCCTGCCCAAGAGTTGCCATGAGACCCCAGACCCTGACACGGGTCACAGGACCGCACCCATCACGGTCAGACAACAGACGGGACGTGATTAGTGAGTGTGATGATGGAGACTCTTAACCTGGACCATCAGCTGAGGTTCACAGCATCAGCCTGAGCAGTGACTCCAGCT